TCAATAATTATTTAATTGCCATCCCGATTGAATTTTGAGCTGAAATTTGGTATGCCCAATAAACTAGTTTGATGAGGAACATGCTCAAAAAAATCCATCGGGAAGGCCCTCAAACGGTCAAGTCTACACAACACATCCTGTCAGGCACGCCTGACAGGACCATTCATTCACACACACACACACACACACACACACAAATATATATATATATATATATATATATATATATATATATATATATATATATATGAATGGTCGTGTCAGGCATAAGAATTTATGTGTGTGTGTGTAATTTATATATAAAGCACAATATGTTATAAGAATTTATTTAACTGCCTTTCCGATTGAATTTTGAGCTGAAATGTGGTGTGCATAAACTAGACTTGGTGAGAACATCCTCACAAATATTTATCAAAAATTCAAACAGAAGACCCTCAAATAGACAAGTTTGCACGGAGGGTCTGGTCAGGCGCGCCTGACCAGACCAGTTCTCTCTCTCCCTCCACACACACACACACACATATATATATATATATATGTGTGTGTGTGGAGAGAGAGATAGAGAGAGAAAGAGAGAGTAATGTTTGAGTCAAGAACTCCTCGCTAGGACCATCATGCAGAATTCACTGTTTGGGATGGTTCCTGATGCAACAAAAGAAACAATAAAATCATGACAATGACAGTAACTCAAATTTACAACTATTTTTAATATATTAAAAATAAGGTGGTATATTTTACAACTATTTTTAATATATTAAAAATAAAGTGGTATATATTTTTCAACTTTATTATTATTTTTTAAAATTTTCATTTGCTAGTTTTTATACTTTTTACGCTTTTTAATTTAGAAAAATGTTCTTATTTTATACAACTATAATTTATGAATCTCATTTTCTGTTTTATTTTATAAAATTTAATTTGAATTTTATAAATGATTTCACATGTTATATATTTATTTTTCAATTTTTAGAATGTTTTCAAATCAAAAAATTTCATATATGTTGTTTAATTTTTTACATTTTTTAAATTTGCTACATTTCATTAATCTTAAAATGTTCACAACGGTATTTTGAGAACTTTAGTTTTTTTAGAATCAATTTACACTTTTTTAGTTATTTTGTGATTTTTAACAGTTTATAGATTTCTTTCCTGCCCTATTGATAATTTATTAGCTTTCTGAATTTTTCCAATTTTATGTATTTATTTTTAATGTTTAGATTTTCTTATTATTAATCTTTTTATCTCTTTGCTATTTTTAGATCTTAGATTTTTGATTTTATAAAAGTATCATTATTTTGTATATTTTATATATTTAAAAGTTTTGTTTTAAAGTCTATATCTTTTCAAAATTGAAATTTTTTTTGATATTATTTTGGCTTATGAAAGAAAGTGTCACGATTGAGACTATGTGCACAGTGCACTCATGATGAGAAGGCGTTTCAGTGATTTATAAGTGTGCATTATAGAGTATGTACTTTTTGTGAAAAGGTATTTTTAACTAGTCTATTTTTGAAAATGAAATTAGGAATGTGAAAAAAGTGATATTATTTTCGCCTTTTAGTTTAGTGCAAATTACCGGAATAGTTAAATTTTATGTCCCCAATATCATTTATGTCCCTCTTATTTTCTCTTTTCATTTTTAACTTTTATATTTTCAAATTTGGTTTTTTCTTTCAGTTTTAGACAGGTTCCGCTAACTCCTGCGTCTATTCATACTTCTGTCTCCCATCTCATCTAGCCACGTGTCCCTAATATTTGGTTTTCCTCTCTTATAATCTAGGATATCATCGAGAGAGATGAGATCCACGGCTTGATTGGGAGTGAAGCTCCTGACCGGCGATTTCCGTCGAATCGGTGGCTCCATTTGAGAAACTGATCTGAGCGATTGGAAGACAACCGAGACACGCCATTGGAGCAGAGTCTGAGACAGCGATGAAGTTCTCAACATCGCGACAGGGATACTATGTGGGTGAGCAGTCCAACTTTTAATCGTCCTTGCATCCGGCGATTCGTCCGTTACCGTTTAGGGCTGCGACCTTCCGGCGATTGGGGGCTAGTTTTGGAGAGCAGCGAACATAGATGGTTATGGAATTCAAATCGATGCAACTCCAGGTGTGGATTTCTTCGTACCTATAAATGTGAACACTACTGCAGTATTTCGATCTTTTTGCTCTAAAATAATAACCAGTTTATTCTATGCTTTTCTCTTGAATTTCATTCATTGTTGTGTTCAAATGCTCTTCATTTCTATTTCTGGTTAGTTTGCTTCTGATTTGGCATCTAGTGGTGTAGTGTTGCATCTGGACTTTCAGAGTAAATTTATTTAATTTCATCAAACTTCTGATTTTGTCTAGGATTAAACAATGTTTTTCATTTTAATACCTTTTGCTATGTTTATGTACAATGCTTTAGTATCTGTAATTTGGGTCAACCTTATTCAGATATTTAATCAGTTTGGGTGTTAAATAAAAATCCTTCTTTGTCTGCTATGGAGTATTTGCTATGATTTTGCCTTCATTCAGAAGGAATAAATACCTTCTGTGTTTTTCAATCACATAATTATCAAAATCAATTTGCCTTTGAACTGTGATAGCCACCTTTAAATGAAGGAATTCAATAAGAAATGGTTTGTGTACATCACTCTTGAATATTCAAAAGTGTACATCCACTTTCGAATAAGAAATGGTTTGTGTATTTGCTATATATATTTTCTTGCTGAAGCAAGAAAAGTGCATATGGAGCAAGTGAATATTCAAAAGCTTAGAGAGGAGCTCTTCTCTACAGTTTTGGGGCTGAATTGGTTCTTACTGATCCTGCCAAGGCATGAAAGGTTCCATTCAAAAGGTTGAAGAAATACATGCCAAATCACTTAATCCCCTGCACTCTCTAACAATTTGAAAAACCCATCAATTCAAACCAAAGATACCTTATGAAACTATTGGGCCAGAATTTGGAAAGGATCCAAATGGTAGAATTGATGCTTTCGTCTCTTAAATTGGTACATGAGGCACTATTACTGGTGTGGGCAAGTTCCCTGGGGAGCATAACCAAAACATAAAGCTGTATGGATTTGAACCTGTTGAAACATGTTCTCAACGGAAGAAAGATCGATCAACACAACATGTTGAAACTATGCTAATCTTATCAATGGAGTAATTCAAATGAAGCCATTGGAACTCCAAAGCAGCTTGCCACAAAAGAGAGATTGCTAATGTGAATATCATCATTTGCATCTCCTAAAACTTCTGTAACTAAAGTTGCAAAGAGGCTTGAGAATGCTGAGAAACTTGTTGACATTTTCCTGAACTTTGTAGAGCAATATCTTTCTTATGTTCTCTTTGAATCCGTCCGACATGAAGCAGAGAAAATGATCTTTGAGCCCTTCATGAATTTCTTGTTTGGAGGTCACTTAATCGGTCTAGACCTATTAACTACGTAGTACTATATTACATTTTATTGAGATGACATATTGTACTTTCTAGAGCACATCCTTTGTTATGTTTAGTGCTTGTATGGAATGCTCGGAATAAAAGTTATGCTTTATTATTGGCTTAATAAATTGAATTATATATTTATTATGATAGATTGTTTATGTTGCTTTTTGTTGTATTATATTTGTTTCTTTTTGTTGCGTTTTGTTTTTTGTTGTTGCATTGTGTTTCCTGTTCTTGCATTGTATGACATATGGTTAATGTTTATACTTGAATTTGATTTTAGTTGTTTATTTAGGTTCCTACTTATCTTTTCTACTTCTTGAAATAAAAATAATCATGTATTGATATATAAATACTTAAATTGATAAATTTCGATCTGTGAATATCAACAATAAAATCTGATGAAACAATAAAAAACAAATATGCAAAATATGCAACAAAAATAAACATAAAGAAACACAAAGCAACAAAATGCAACAAAAAATAACAATAAAATGATTTGTAGCTCGTTAAAAAATTAATAAAAATCATTTTGTTTGATATTTTCAAATGTTTTACGTTTTTTACTATTTTAAATTTTCCTATTTGGTATTCGAGTTTTGTGCTTTTCTCCATGATTTTTTGGAATTATTACCTTTTCTGAAATTTTTAATACTTTTTTAAATTTGTATTTTCTATTTTTTGTTTTTTATTTTTTATGTTTTTTATTTTATTTTGTTTTATTCTTCTATTTTTATTTTAGATTTTTTATTTTATATAATATGTGCATTTTGTTTTCACATTTTGATATTTGTGTTTTTGTATACTTGTTAATTTTTTTATAATTCATTTTTTGTACATTTATTTTATTTTATTTTTCTTAAAAAAATTATTCGAAGTATTTTGTATTTTTTTATTCTTTTTCTGGATTTTTAACTAAAGTTTTTATATTTTTTTTTCATTTTGGAGCTTTTGTTTTTAAAGTCAATACATTTTTAGCATTTTTTTATTTATTGTTTATAATTAGTTTTATTTAATTTAACTTACAAGTTTTCAAATTTTATTTTTTATAATGCATTTTTTAACACTTAAAATTTTTGATTCTGAGTTTTTTCTTTATTTTTAATTTTTTTCATTTTTCACCTAATTAGTTTCGTTTTTTGACTACTTAATAACTTTTTAAATTTTCTTTCTATGTGAGAAAACAAAAATTTAGTCCACTCAGAAAAATCAAATTAAGTTAGTCCTTAAGTTTGTATTAGTTTATTAACCAATGGTGGGAGATAGATACGTAACCGATAACCCAACTACTATATAAGCAAAGGCCAGACAATCTCGTAGTCGTTGGTGAGGGTTTGAACAACTGTAAAATGAAAAAAGTGATTTTATTTTGGGTTTTAAGATCACTTGCGACAAAATTCCTTTAGTTTATTTGTGTTAAATTCCCAAACCAATTCACATTCATAGACTGCTAGACCATAGTTTATGCCTTATGGGCTTATGGTCGTAAGAAGATGGTCTGCCCAAGCCATTCTCCTTTATGCAGCCCATTAGATTGGCCCGACTGTGGTAAAAATGACTTACGGAGGATCACTGGATCAGGCAATGTCTCCATCTCCGGCATAGCAGCCACCAGCTCGCTGCTATTGGCCGGGTCCGAGCCGCAGCCTTCTCTAATCCAGCGGAGCCTCTATTAACCAATTGACTTTTTGTGTGTGCTCTCAAGGCCACGCGCATTGTGACCTGAGTTCTACTTTCGTAGAAACTGAGCAGACCGTTTGGTTTCTTTATTTGCGATCAGAAATGGTGATTTTGGTGAAGTAATTGTTTGTTCTTTTTTAATAGCATTTCCTTTTTATAACTCTCCCAATTACGTTTGCGTAATGATTCGAAAATCGAAACCCTAGTGCGGACCAATTCCGGATGGCTGAAAGCGTCGTAGTTGACTATGGCCCCCGCTATAGCTCTTGTGGTTACTGTAAATCTGGTGACTCCACCAGTATCTCACATGGTATTTTCTTTTCCTGTTATAAATCTTATTCTTGTAGTTTCTTTATCCCGTTATAATCATGATCATTTGGCTAGCTTGGTTGTTTTTGAGCTTCAAAGTTTTCTTGAGATTATTATCATAGTGGATTTTTTGATGGAGACTATTGATTTGATCGAATTCCACCTTTGTTGCATCATTGTGGCAACTAGAAACCCACCTTGATTGTCATCTGTGTCTCACTTGAATAGGAATGATAAGCTAAGATGGACATTGTGATTTTGATTTCATCATCTCAATGCTGAAGTAGGAGATGATTATGTGAATGGCTTTCTTTGATGATCTTCTTGTAACTTTGAGCTTTTGATTTTCAGGGCTATGGGCTAAACGACTGACAGTTGATGACTACCAAGGTCAGTTGACATTCTCTAATTTTTATCTTTTTTTTTTGTGTAACATAGAATTTCATTTGAGAAGTGCTAATAAAGCAACAACATCGAAGCCTTAATCCCAAAATAGTTTGGGAGAAGTGCCAATGAGTTCTCTTTTTTTGTTTTCTACTTTTCCAATTTGATTTCATTTAACCATTGATTTTAAAAGTTTTATATTCTATACAGCTCTTCTTGATAGGGGGTGGAGAAGGTCGGGGTGTTATTTGTACAAGCCTGAGATGAAAAGCACATGCTGCCCATCTTATACCATACGCTTAAAAGCTGGTGATTACATTCCATCCAAGGAACAACGCCGAGTAATAAAACGGATGGAGAGGTATAATCTCATATACGTAGTATCTCTTTCTTCCATTGTACTTGTTATCAAGAGTCAACAATTTGCTTTATAAGATTCTTCAACTGTTTTCCTAGTTGGTTAAGTGATATTCGTCTCATCTGTTTGTTTTATGCTTGAACCTTGTTTTATTCATTTTCTTTTTGTCTATTAGAAGTTAGGATGTTTTTAATTGGAATAATTTTTTTTGATCTAGTCTGGTCTGGTCTGTTTAAGTTTGGAACTCTGGATTGGTCTGATCTAGAGTCCAGTAAATATCTGTTCTTTGTGTATTTTATAACTATCAAACTCTGGTCTGGTATGTTTAAGTCTGATCTATTCTGGTCTGAGACTGAAAACAGTCCAAATAAAAAATCCTTACTCCCTCTTTCCCCAAAAAGTGTCATGTTTGGTCTAGCCATCTAGGTACATCAATTTTATATTGGCAAGGTATATATGTCAAAGCCATGGCATTACACACACATATGTGTGTGTGTATATATATATATATATATATAAATGTAAACATTTGCTTGTTTATAAACTTTTTTTAGACTAAGATGGGAAAATTAAAAGAAAAGTTAGCTTTGTTTGATGAATATCCCAAATAGCTTTTGACTCGATTTTTTGGGGATGAAGGCAGTATATCGTAGAGTTCTGAAGGGTTTCTGTAGCTTATTCATTCATGCAGCTTTATGGGTAAACTAAATAAATAATATGAAATTGAAGCAATGTTTGAGGTACTTATGTGGGACTTATTGTTCATAGGTTTCTGGAAGGAAAATTAAATAAACAAGTGGAAGAGTCCATGGACTCTGCAAGTACATCCAGCACTGTCATCAATAATTCCAGCAATGAGATTTCAATATCTAAGGAGTCTTTTCCGCCTTATTGTGAGGGGAAAAACCATTCTGATTGGTATTTGCATTATTTGTCAGAACAGATCGACAATGCTGTACAAACATGTGCTGAACGTGGAGAGATTCCCCTTGATATCCAGTTACCAAAAGCTTCCGTTAAAAAAGTTTCATCTGCAAATAAAAGAAAATTACAGGTTCAAGGAGCAGAAGATCTCTTATTTACCAGCAACATCTCATTCCAGATTGTTTCTGTTATAAGGCGGTCCAAAAAGAATTCTGAACCAGGAAATGCTGCAGATGTTGCAAAAAAACTTGCTAGCTGTTTAAATCAATTGGAAGAATTGTCTGGTTTTGGAGTTCTAGCTTGCAACGGCTACATTAATTTCTACTCATCCAGCAAACTGCAAAGTTTAGGCTATGCTTCAGAAAGAGACAAAGGAGAAAGTTGTAGTAAAAGAAGGTACATAGATATCAAAACACACAAACTCGAGATCCGTCTTCACCGATCCAGCTTTGATCCTGAAGAATATTCCTTGTATAGAAGATACCAACTCAGAGTGCATAATGATGAACCGGATAAAGTCACAGAGAGTTCTTATAGAAGGTTTCTGGTTGATTCTCCGTTAGTGTTTGTTCAACCAACAGCTGACCGAAGTGTTCCTCTTTGTGGATTTGGATCCTTTCATCAGCAATACTTGATTGACGGGCAGCTTGTTGCGGTTGGTGTGGTTGATATTTTGCCCAAGTGTTTATCTAGTAAATATTTATTTTGGGATCCTGATTTTGCCTTCTTATCCCTGGGTAAGTACTCAGCCCAGCAAGAGATCAGGTGGGTTAGAGAGAATCAATTGGACTGCCCAAATCTTCAGTACTATTATCTTGGTTATTACATCCATTCCTGCAACAAAATGAGATATAAAGCTGAATACAGACCATCCGAGCTTCTCTGCCCCCTTCGCTATACGTAAGCTTTCATTAACCACGTGTGTTTTATATACATATATATCAATATGCTTGAAAATATTTAATAATATCTTTGTCATTAATAATGTGATGATTTTGTTTCCATAGGTGGGTTCCATTTGAGATTGCAAGACCATTGTTAGATAGAAAACCATATGCAGTTCTCTCTGACTTGACTGTCAACAATGAAGGACCATTGCCTTCCAGTCTCATAGAAAATTACCGAGATGAACAAGTTGATGATCACGTACCAGAGGGGTCAAATGATATATTTGTCCAGGCAGACCAAGAAATGGTTGAATATGATTCTGAAGATAGTGACAATAAAGAGGACCAACTAACAAGTGGTACCGTGTCTAGTGAGATGGAAGACGGAGATGTTGGTGGCATTTTGGTTGGGTTGAATGGAATTCTTTTGAGGTTCCAGGTAAAGCCATTGGTCTCTTAACACTAAGGGTGTGTTTGGATCACCGAAAATGCGAAAGGAAATGTTACCTTTATGTTTTGCGTCACCATGCTTGTTGCATTGCTTTTATGGAGTGTATAAATTAAACAAAACTTTGTTAAGCTTATGTAATTTGTGTTATTGTTTTGAATCTGATTAAATTTGTCTTGTTTTGAAAGGAGCTGCTACACGCATTTGGACCCAGAGGAAGACAACGTATGACAACCCATTTGCAGAAATACATGAGAATTGTGGGAAAAGAACTCTCTGAGAACATGGTTTATTCATTGGACTGATAATTATACGTTTCTTGTTATCTGAAAAGTTTGAGTTGTAAATGTTGAATAAATAAATTGCATAAATCATTTTCCTTTACCCTTTGTAATTTTATTTAGATATGTTCTGTTTATATCCATCTTTTCTTTCAATTCAACATATTTAGGCAGTGCTTGGCAGCCAAAATGGGGCTTATTTTACATTTTTACTTGTTAGCTGAATAAGCAATATAATGAGAACAAGGAAAGAAGTAATTTTCTCTGCGGTGAAGAGTTACATGCCTAAAAATAGGGATGGACTCGGGCCGGGTCAACCGACCCGTAACCGGCCCGGGCTCGGTACTGTTTGGACCTGGCCCGGGCTCGGTACTGTTTGGACCCGGCTCGGTACCCGGGCCATCTAGCCGGGTCGGGCCACCCGGAACGGTACTGTTCACCGGCGGGCTCCGGCTCTCAATAATCGTGAACTGGCCCGGCCTGGTTTAGGCCATTTTTTTTTTCAAATTTTTTAAAAGGTAAATGGGTTGGGCTGGGTGTTTTGAAGGGGTTTGGTTGTGGCCCTTTCACAAAAAAACGTGTGGGGTAGGAAGTAATTAGGGAAAAAAAAACGTACTCGACCGGACCCGGCCTGGCCCGGTACCCGCCGGGTGACCCGGCCTGACCCGACCTGGCTTGGCCCGGTACCTGCCAGGTGGCCCGGCCTGACCCGGGCCCGGTAGCTACCCAGACTGGTTCCGGGCCTCAAGATTCCAAAAAAAAAGCCCGGTCTGGCCTGGCTTGACTACTTGAGAGTTGAGGCCATGCCTACCTAAAAAGTCTGGGAACTTGATAACTTTAGAAATTATAATGAAACTCCGGAACTTTAATTTGTAAGTGAGTATATTTTTCCGTATTAGGGAAGTGGACTTGACTTCTCTGCACAAGAAAGTACATTTTGCATTTATAAATGAAGATCTAACATTTTCCCACTGTAATGTAAGTTTTTTGTTTTAAATTAGGCCTTGGGTATTCAATACTCTAGCAAGTAGCAACCATATTGTCAGCACTCCAAATCTCCAATCCTATGCATCCTCGGAGAGAGTCCAATTCTTCAACACAAATCACTTAAAATTAAGAAAATTGGAAATTGAATTAGAAAGAACAAATTGACCTTCATTAAAATTTTAAGAGATAAGATGGCAATCAATACCCTCGCAAAAAAGCAAAGCATCAATCATATTATTCAATAATCAAAAACTCAAAATCAGATCTCAGTGATGTCTAGAATTAGGAAGGATGACCGTGTTCAAGCCAATGCTTCCAAGTGGATCACTTTGGACACTTTCATTATGGAAGGTCTTAAAGTTCAAGTGATTGTTCGGGGCTAGGATTGCCTTGAACTCGGGTCAAGTATTGTTAAATGTTGAATAACCAAATTGAATCAAATTATTTTCCTTTACCCTTTGTAATTTTATCTTACTGCTAGTCAACCAAGGCTTATTTCATTTCTTAGCTGAATGTGCAAACAATTGGAATGGGTGAAAGAGGTACCAAATCTCGGGTGGAGCGCTCTTGGCCTAAAACGGCTAAATTTGCTGAGCTTTTTTGAGGAATAAGGATTAGTAAAAAGCTTTTGAAAAGAAGTAAATCAAAAGCTTCTTAATATAATCGTTTGGTAATAGATAGAATAAACTGATTCAAGTTACTAAACAGGCTTAAGGAGTTATTTGGATGCAACGGGGTTATGGACTTATGGGGGCAACACTTCTACCTTTAGAAAATCAGGAGTCAAGTATTCGGTAAGATAATTCTTACCAAACATGTACTGCACTATGTAGCTTCTAAGATATTTGCTTTGCTTGTATCAAAGTTACTTAGATTGGGATAAACGAATTGGTAAAATGGTTTAAAGATCAACTTAATATTAATATACAGAGTTCAAAGGTTTAAGCAACAACTATCTGAAGGAAGAGCACACTTGAGACTTGGGAGTTGGAACTATTTATTTCACTTAAAAGAACAGAAACATGGTGTGGGTAGAGAATGTACATAGAGTTCAACTTAATAATTTTATACACTGAGTTATAATTTCTGAAGCAAGAGACAACTAATTACAGAACACAGTTGATAGTTCTTCAGTTAAAAGAACAGGAACATGGCATAGGTAGAGAATGTACAAATTAGGGGATAGAAAATGAACTTCAGAGATTTGATCAGACATAATCAGGACCAACTCGTTGACTTCCCCAGTAGCTGCTTCCATCAGGACCGGTAATCTTAAACCTGTTCAGTTTACAAAACGACAGCCTCAACTGATCAAATTCAATAGTGTCGATTGCACTCATTGAGACATTAGTATCTGATATGAAACATATTTTTAGTACATTATGGACAACAATGTTGTTCTAAGGATGTTTTTACTTGGACTGTTTTCAGTTACAAACAAGACCGGACTTAAATAGACAAGACCAGACAAGTCCAGACTTAAACAAACCAGACCAGACTTCCATAGTTATAAAATACACAGACACCAAACATTTATCAAACCAGACCAACAAATTTCAATCCAAATATAAAAAAATTCTAAGAATCTCCGCAACCAATATATTAGTTTGAGATTTCATCAAACATTCAACCTGCTTAGAGAAGTAGGTTAAACCATATATGTAATCTTCATACTTGTCTGATTTGGGATGACCTAACATTTTGGCTCAAGATAGCTATGCTAACTTCACGAGACATCAAGTGCTTTTTAAAACATTAAAGAATACATAAACTCATTCCTTAAGATAACAACATTTGTATATGCTGAGCTGTGAAACATATCGCACATCATAATCAACATAACAATGAGGTTTTCTCAGAAGTATAATATAAATATAATCAACTCACCGTTCAAGGACAGACTTTCCTTCTTTGTACTTCTGATCCTTCTCGTGAGCGGTTTCCTAGAAGAATTTTCCACATTTATTTCTCACAACTACGATAGAACAATTTGGGAAATAGAGGCATGAAACTAATTATTATCAGTTTGAATGAACTTTACATATTTCCAGCCAACAATGGACCCACACCCGACGCAGAAAATGTCTGCAGCAGTGTGCATTCCGGTCGTCATCATCCTCTCTTCATTAGGGCCGCAAGTGATATTCACTCTGTCAATTTAAATGTCAGTTTCCATAACATATCACTTATGAAGACTTTAAACATCAGGCTCATAAGGCAGCCTGTTTTGGCTTAAGGTCTGTTTAGTAAGAGTTATTTGGCTGAATGTTCTGAATTTTCTGAAGATAATGTGCTCAAGTTGCATCTTTTCGGCAAAATTAGTAAGCTGAAAACTGCTTATTTGGCTAATAATCAGAATATGCCACCTTTGGCAAAAAAACAACCAGTTTAGTTTGCTGATAATATATGTAGGGGGGAGTGAGTGTGGCAGAATCTCAAGGAGACTTACACCTTACTGAAGAGATAAGCCTTCCCATGTTTGCAGTGGAAAGACTGAACGAAATAGCAGGGAACAAAAAGGTTGAGTCATATATATGCAATGCTTGCGCACACAGACATAGATAATTAAGCTTGCAACTGCATAATACAAATTCACTATCAAACATCTACAGAATTGCTTTTTGAAATTGAATAAAACATAAGTGAATTTCAAGTTTTAACAAAAGTATTTAGTTGAGACAGATCACATGAATGCTACTGCTCTGGAAAGACAAATTAGGAAGACTTCCTCTTTAATTCACAATCAATTACAAGCATTCTAGAAACCTAAAGCCCTCGCATTTCAGGTGATTTTTTGTTTCCAGGTTTTAATTTTCCCAACAATTAAAACCATAAGATGCCAATAACAATTAAAAACTACCAATTAGTTTTCCTGAATCCTTAATCCTATCCATCTATTTCCAATAAAACATGCCAACAAGATGCAACAACTAAAGGAATCAACATCTTAAACATATAGCCAAATACAACCAAATTATTACACACAGAAAGAGGGATTTGCTTTGTCGGTGAGCAACCAATCATCATTTCAAATGACAGAACAAAAAATGGAATGAAAAGCGCATATTGAGTTGGAAAATTGGATCAATCATTTGAAGATTGAGGAGTTAGAGAAGAAGAACTGGTAACCTTGGAAACGATGTGGTCAGAAAGAGCCAGATGTGTTCCACAGTGCTTGCAGCTATACATCTTTCCTTCCAGAGTTAACACAAACAGCCTCCCCATTTCAATTCTTCTTTCTCTCAGAAACCCAGAAAATCAAGGAAAATAACCGTGTTTGGCATTCAATAAAACCGAAGAAATGATGAACATATCATCCCCAAACTCAATATGATTTGGGTAGGATACTTGGATTGACGGTTGAGTGACGTAAACTTGAAAAAATAGACAAAAAAAGAAGCTGAAAGAAACAATACGCAAAGGTTATGGAGATAATTTATCATTTACGGCCAAAGAATACAAAAATATCCACTCTTATACTCACTTTTGTATCCACTTATTTTTGTAAAAGTTTTTTTTGTCTGTGAACATTGATTCATAAATAATATTTTGCACAAATAAAATATTGTCTGTGAATCGGATTCACAGACAAAAAAAGCTTCACAAACATGATGGGTATAAGGGTGGATACATCAAGCATTGTTGCAAAAAAATAATACCTCCAGTATAATTCATTTTTCTTAAAAGTTACAACATTTTTAATTGTTACACTATTTATATACATTACTTTGATTATGATTTTCTACTAATATATATAATCAAATTATTATGTATAAAATGTTGTTAAATTTCTATTAATGCTAATTTTCAAAATATTAAGGGTCTGTTTACTAACAAAGATATTTTCCAGTTTTCCAGAAAAATGGAAAATTAGAAAACAGAAAACATGAAACGCGATTACCAAAGAAAATTGCTGGAAAACTGAAGAAAGGAAAACAGAAAAACGCGTTTACCAAACCGTTTTCCAAAACGAAAAAAATGAGACATGTCTCTCTTTTCCTTAATGATTTGGAGAAGTGACTTTTACCAGTTTTCGAAATTTGGAAAACGCAGATGCTACAGACCGCTGCAGTGAATTTGCATACTTTACACCTAGTGGTGGGTCCGGTCCCGCTCCGATGTCGATTCCATTCTAGTACCTCCATCCTCATACCTTACCCCTACCCTACCTTACCCACCCAACCCCCACCCCGCATACCCCTTTTCCCTACAATGACCCTACCCCCACCCTCTACCACATGCCCCTAATCGGTCCCACCCCGATCCACCCTACCCTACCACCACCCCCTACCACCTCAGCCCCACCCCGACCCATCCTACCCTACCTCGGCCCCACCCTGATCCCGGCCCCACCCTACCGCCATCCTATCCCAACTCCCTACCTCGGCCCCACCCTGATATGTATAAGGTTATTTTGGACATTTTAATGTTAAACGGTGTTTTAAACCTTTTGAAGTAAACATTATCTTATAACATTGCTTATTTTATGCGTCGCTTATTAACGCGAGTCTTAATAAGCACCATTTAGTAACATGTGAAGTAAAGTGTCAGTCTTCTGGATGATCACATGATTGGGTGAAAAAATTGATGAACATGTTTTCAGATTTGAAAATGGAAAACTAGAAAATAGAAACACAAAACTCGAGATAGAAAAATTGAAAAAAAAATTGGAGAACGAAAAACAGAAGTAGAGAACAGGAAAATATCTTTGTTAGTAAACAGGCCCTAACTTTTTATAATGTTTACTAATACGTAATTAAATATAATCACAGTCAAAGTTGTGTGTTGGTAAACGTGAAAGTCAAACTTTTACAACTATTAAAGAATGAAGGATAGTACATAGTAGTATTTGTGTCTTCTTAGATAGTTATTTGTTATGGAGAATTATAGCCATGTGCTCAAACTAGTAATTTTTATGCGTCTATCTTAATTGCACGGAATAGAGAAGTACGAATTTGGAGAATAGGTCTTGAGTTCAAGGTCTTGAATTCAAGGGATGAATAGGTCCGGAGTTAAAAGCTAAAAGCAGGTGCAGGTGAAAAACTTCCTCAAAAAAAGTTAAAAGCTAAAAGCAGGTGCAAGTGTGCTTTAAAATGCTTTTCACCTTTTCCATTACACAAAAATAACTTTTTTTTACCAAACACTATCACTGCTTTTCACATGTGCCCCCGGGTAAACTTCTTAGAGGTTCACACATCCCAATACTACTCTCGTGCAAGCATGATTAATTTGGAGTTATCAAGAGATGAGCTCCTTAAATGAGATACACCTTTTTGATATGAATAATAGTATTAATCTATTTAAATTAATTTCACGTGTTACACCCATCATCTCATCATCAGATACTAACCCAATACTACTCTCTTGCAAGCATGATTAATTTGGAGTTATCAAGAGATGAGCTCCTTAAATGAGATACACCTTTTTGGTATGAATAATATTATTAATCTATTTAAATTAATTTCATGTGTTACACCCATCATCTCATCATCAGATACTATCACAATCGCCATTCAAAGTCTTTCCGTAGGGGGCATATGGAAGATCCCCATCATCTCATCATCGGATACTACGCAATCGTCATTTCAACAAGTCTATCTGCGGGGGAATAGGAAAGATCAACATCATCTCATCATCGGATACTACGCAATCGTCATTTCAACAAGTCTTTCTACGGGGGAATAGGAAAGATCCACATCATCTCATCATCGGATGCTACCACTATTGTCACTTCAACAATTCTTTCTGAAGGGACAGGGACCGATCAAATCTTGATAACGGAGAAGAAAAACCACGACATGCGTGCGCGGGCGACCTGTGGACACGAATGTCGTCCGAAAATCTATCATTCAAAGATACGATTTATTTTTTTGTTTCTTCCCATAACGTTTAATTTTTTCCTAGAATCAGAATTGCTCAACGGTAGACCTGCTCCGGACCAGAAGACCTGAGAGGGTCTCTGTTGGCTTCGGAACCGAAGACCATGAGGTCTTCTGGTGGCTTCCGGACAGAAGACCATGAGGTCTTCTGGTGGCTTCACACCACAACACCGCGAGGTGTTCTGGTGGGGGTATTCTGGTCGCGCGCTGAACGGTTTTGAACCGTTACAACAGTAAATGCCCAACGTTCTTATCTTTTAATGCATCGTTAAATGGACAGTTTATGGACGATTCAATGCCCAACGGACTGGTCATTGATGTCCAACGTTCATGTCCATTAAAACTCCATTTAACACACAACAAATCCTCCTACAAATAGCTGGCAGGTGCTTTGCAACAAACATTCTTGCACGTTCACAAGCAATCTGCACATAGTTTTTAGCTCTAAAACCACTTCCAGCTACTCCAAAAAATTTCTTGAGTGTTCTGCTATTGTTCCCGTTCACCGGAACTTTCGTTTGTGTCCTCAAACATTAGTTCGTTAGCCACCGTATCCAGGGAAACGGTTGTTGCAACGCTCCTAGCACCGTGGGAGGCGACGTATACGTTTTAAGGACATCGTGCGTATGTAGCACGAGCTCTGGATAATTTCCGTCCCATCTTATTTTCTGTTTTTTCTTTGGCTATTTTAATTAATTAATTAATTTTTATTAATTAATATCTCTTCGTGTTTCCGAGACACACCCAACAATCTTAAAACTTATTTGTCAAGCTTGTATCATACGGATACAATCTTAAACTGTAGTTTGTCAATTTGGTGAACGAACTTATTTTTTTTTTGTGTTTTCGGAAAACCTAAGAAACGTAAATGGCTACTCAAGAAATTCAGAATGTTGGTAGGCAGAAGGTGCCAAATGACACTCACTCTGAAAGCGGAGCTCCAGTGAATGTTAGTTCACAACGCGGTGCATCTGCTTTGGGCAACCAAAGGGCTATCCCTATGGTTACCGTGCCGAGCAACTCTGTGGAGAAACCCAAAAAATTCAATGGGTTAAACTTCAAGAGGTGGCAGCAAAAGATGCTCTTCTATCTCACTACTCTCGGTCTTGCAAGGGTCTTGACCAAAGACGCGCCGGTAGTAACCGGGGGTGAGGTGGATGCACAATCTTTCAATGCGGTTGAAGCATGGAAGCATTCTAACTTCCTTGTCAAAACTATGTGTTGAACAGACTGCATGATGCTTTGTACAATGTTTATAGCAAACTAGCTACGACTAAGGAGCTATGGAATGCTTTGGACCACAAATATAAAAGTGAGGATGCCAGTGCGAAGAAATTTGTTGTCGGCCGATTCCTTGATTTTAAAATGGTGGATTCGAAGACGGTCTTGAGTCAAGTTGAGGAGATTCAAATGATCTTCAACGAAATTCGAGATGAAGGAATGATAGTTAGTGAGTCTTTCCAAGTGGCGTCAATTATCCATTTATTGCCGCCGGCTTGGAAGGATTTCAAGAACTACTTTAAGCATAAGCGAAAGGAAATGAACTTGGAGCAATTGATCCTTCGTCTGCGGATTGAAGAGGATAACCGGAAGAATGATGGGAAACTCCCAATCGTTACCAGCGCCAAGGCAAACATGGTGGAGCATGCAAAAGGCTCCAAAAACAAAAATAATGGGAAGAGCAAGCTCGGTCCCAAGGGAGGCATTTCCATGACGAAGTTCAACGGAAAGTGCTTCAATTGCAATAAAAACGGACACAAGTCCACGGATTGTAAGGCACCAAAGAGGAAGAAAGGTTCTCACGTCAACTTGGTGCAAGGTAGGCAAAAGGATGAAAACATTATCCTTGCGGTCGTGGTGACCGAGGTCAACCTCGTTGGATCCAATTCCAATGAGTGATTCATGGACACCGGTGCTACCCGGCATATTTGCTCAAACCGGGAGTTATTCACAACTTTTGAGCCATCAAATGGTGAAAAGGTGTGGATGAGAAATTCTGCTCATTCCATGGTTCAAGGTGTGGGCAAAGTGGTCCTGAAGATGACTTCGGGCAAGGAGCTGACTCCCAATCAAGTGTTGTTCGTTTCGGAAATAAGAAAAAACCTGATTTCTGGTTCGTTGTTGAACAAACATGGCTTTCACATGGTGTTTGAGTCGGACAAACTAGTTTTGTCTAAATTGGGAATGTATGTGGGCAAAGGGTATGCATGTGATGGACTGTTTAAGCTTAATGCAACGACTATTAATAATAATAATAATAAAATCCTTTCTGCTTACTTGCTTGAGTCTTCCAATGTGTGGCATGGTAGACTAGGACATGTTAATTTTAATTCTATACGTAGATTCTTTCCTCTACTACGCAAGAGTCTTTCAATCTCAAGTAAAGTAAAATTTCTGATATCATCATCCGTCAATTGCAAATCTAGAACATTTGAAACAAAATATAGACGAAAATGAGTAAAAATTATCATAAATTGATTAGTTCTATGAACTAAAAGGAATAACTTAACAGAATTAATAACAAAACTTTTTACCTTGGTGATTAAGCTGTCTTCTTC